TAATAGCTGATTTTGGTAAATGATAGTTGTAATTAGTGTCAACTGATCGAATACAACTGCAACAGGCTAATCATTTCATTGGCAGAAAACATTTGCATTTTGTGGAGGCCGTCGTCACTTGTGGTGTATGGTCTGCACCCGACACTTTCTCGCTTTTTGAAGGGGAGGGTATGTATTCCATGCTGTCTTTATGCTGAACAGCAACATAGGCGTGGCAAAGGCGTGGAATAAAATAACCAATAGCCCAAAAAATCACACGCGGCATTTTTTCTAGGTTTCTATTCTGTGCGCTGTCGCTGTTCTGCGAAGCTGTAATACAAGTAATGAAGGCCTCGAAGAAAATCAAGGTCTTGTATGATTTTTGAGGCTATTGATTACTTTATGTCGCTTGGCATGGTGCAAAGTCTGCACTGCAGACGCACATGGCTGCCGGGTTCAAACAGTATATTACTCGCGAAAATACATACTGACGGCGGTGTGTAACTCACATCTTGGAAACTTTGCTAATGTGCTCGGAAATCATTGCCAATTGCTTATCGATCGGCTCCTGATACATCTCGTAGATCTTCGGGAATTGAGAACGCACCAAGAACAGCTGGAACAATTTTATTCATCACATGACCATTAAAATTGATTAGGGTTAAACTAAAATAAATGATTGGAGCAGGGGCGAAAAAGCGAAAAAAACCGGCTGTGAAAATATACTCACCCAAAATCACAATGGCAAATCCAGAGAACCAGCAACCGATGTACGTCAACGCCCACAAAATCAAAGCGAACTGAAAAAAGTGAACAATTAAGGAATGAAAGCTATCTGCTGAATATAATCGATCATTATTCTCGCTCCGCTTAGGTTCACGCTTCACGATATTTTCACTTTTAGAGCGAGAGGTACTAAATGTTTGGATGTGAGGTAGTAATCCCATGGGTTTCAGCAGTGCACTGCTTGTCTTGGAGGGACGAGAAGTTCAGAAGGTAACCCCACACTAACTGCGGTCTTCGTTGAGAAGAGCAACAAAGTTACGTCATTTCCTTGTCATTTTCGTGTAGCCAAGAGATGAACGTTCCCGACAGAAAATTTGAAATCGATTCAAGAAGAAAAATTCAAAACGTTTA